GGACCAAAGGCTTGTTTACGCTAGAGCTCGAGAGAGACTGAATAATAGGTGTAATGTTTTTAGGACCTAGAATAATTTAGGCGACGGTCGGAATTATGTTTCTGCGCATATGAAGGTCAAAGCTCATAAGATTTTTGCTCTTTCAGGTTTTGAATCAAGTTTCATGTTAGACATACAGGGTAAAAAGTTATTAACTAAATTTTCGGTAAACTTGGTCGTAAGTGGCGCCCTCTATGAGCAATGCTGAAATTACAACACGCATCTTATTCGTCGCCTAAAAAAATATAGTTTCACAAATTTTCAAGTTCCTAACCTACATATTTTCAGAATAATCGCAAAAAAACTATTTAAAATTTTAACTTTCAACACCCTGTATTTCCGAAACTATCAACTTTTGGATAAGGCATATTTGCTCCAATGGTTACCATTTCACGTGTAGTATCTTCAGCTTTCGATTTTCCCATTGTTAATGAATCACCCTGTATAAATTTGGCAATAAGGATTTTCCCCAAAATAGCAGTAGATTGCGGTACTTTATCAATATCTAGTAGAGTCTTTGTAAATCAATAAGTCCCTAAGTGATCAAGTACCACAAATAATTTTCATTTGTCGATTTGTGATATTTATATTTAAAAAGACTATCAAAATTCAATTTTGAAGTACGTTTAGATCAAGATATTAGGTTATTCGGTCGTTTTGAATATAATTTATTTGATAACAAAAACAAAATAAATAATAAATATATAATGTGGAAGAAGAAATTCTGGAAGTGGTGGAAGAAAATCCTGCAACCAGTCTCAGATTAATATAGAGGCAGACTGTAGTTTCCAAAAGCATAATGCACAGTATGTTCACCCACTTCAACAAATTCCACCTCTTGATTGTCCCGCTCATCAATTCTCGCAGATCATTTACCAATTCAGAGCTGGAGATATGAACAAGAAAATTTTTTCCAGGTGAATCGTGTTTTACGAAACATAGCCAGCATGTTTACACAAATGAAAATCCCCATTTCATTATGGAACGACAGTGTCATCAACCTGAATTTAGTATAAACGTATGGATTGGTTTTTTCAGTAACTTTTTGCTCTTAAATTTCTAAATCGTCTCGATGCTAACAGTTAAATTTTCTGCAAAAAACTATGTCAGGTCAGAATTGTTTGATCTACTAGTGAATCTACGTAATCATATGTATTTTATGCATGACGGAGTATCACCACACTTCAGTTGCAATGTAAAACACCATTTAAATGGTCAGTACCTAGATAGATGGATAGGCAGGGGACCTCATGCTCCGATTCATTGACTACCGCACTGACCTGACTTAAATCCTTGTGATTTTTTGATATAGGGAGTCTTAAAACAAGTAGTATATGTATATTGTTAATATTGATAGTGCGAGACAACTGTGGAACAGGATTAAAAATGCTGTTCATAATTTGTAGAATGAAGGAGTACTAAGAAGAGTGCATTTTAATTTTTTGCATAGAATTAATTTATGTATTACAGAAAGAAATAGCAATATTAAGTAGTTCTTACGAGAGAATGTTATTTTGTCTCTGTTATCAAATAAATTATTTTTGAAATGATGTAACTATTTCAAGATTGAATTGAAAATAATCATCTAATAAAAAAAAACTAATTAACTCAAAAATGTTACAAATACAAAATTTTACAATAGGAATTTAATTTAATAAACCCTTTACTTTTAAGACAGAAAAAAAGTACAAATTACAGCGCGACCGCCGCACTATGGTACGAAATGCCTAAAACTGGCCAAAAATGAAAAAAAAAAGTTTCTATTTGGAATTTTTTAAGTATCAGGTTGGCAATAGGGATAGTTGGGCTATTCAAATTGACCGGTGGAAACAGTTTGCCATTTATACTTGAGCTAAGTACATCACATGTTCAAAGTGCTGATAAAGTCGTAATAAAATGGACGTTGTTCCAGGAGGTATGTAAAGTATTTCAACATTATAAATTATTGATTATCCACTTATTTTCATTATTGTTTATGACAAATAATGTTTAAATTTATTACGAAAGTCATTCAAAAGTGAACTTAAAAGTTATATATAAGACACTATAAGGCTAAATTACTTATTGACCCGTAATCTATGATCAATTTACTATAATATTATGAAAAAAACATCTGTGCTTAGCTGCGCCTTCAATTTTACGATATGAATAAAGCAAAAGTTGCAATAAATCGTAATTCAATTATTTCGTTATTCTTTCACTTATTATAAAATAAGTAAAAATAATGTTTGGAAAAATACATATAAGTAGAATAGTAAAGGGCAATAAGTAAATAAAGAGAAAGGAAACTCGAGTATGACATAGAAATGGATAGTCGATGCGATTTTGTCAATTTACAGCCCCATTGAAAAAAGTGGAATATTTGGAAGACAAGACCCTGGTATCTATATGTTTTTGGGGTCGCTGAATCCGGTACCGGTGTCTGTTTGATCCGATCAGGTCTGTGTTAAAGTCAATTCAAGGTTAAATGTAAAGAATCATTTACCAACAAAGTAAATCTCCATATCTATACGTTTTTCGGGACGGTTTATCCGAATCCGGTGTCCGTTTGATCCGATCAACTCTGCGTTAAGATCAATTCAAGGTCAAATGTAGAGAATCAATTGCCAACAAGGTAAACCAATGTATCTATACGTTTTTGTGGTCGCTTAATCTGAATCCGAGTTCCGTTTGACCTGATCAGATCTGCAAAGTTCCAAACTCAAATCACTCAAGTATTCATTTATGCATATTAAAATTTGAGTAAAAAATAATATTAAAGAAAGAAAGCCCTTGACTTTCAACAATATTCAACAGTATACACTTTTGTACAATTTGGAATAAATTTTTATTTTTGGCTAGCTTTTAGGCATTTTGTACCATAGTGCGCCGACAAAATTATGAGCATTTAAAACAAAATTAATTTGAAAATATTTTCTCATAAAATATTATGAAAAACTAGCTTGTGATAGAAGATACTGAAATTTGAATAAACAATTGTTAATGACCAAAATATTTTTAAAAAATAGTTACTTAACAATGCTACATTTAGAGCCAATATAAATATATAGTAGGTACATAGACGGCTTCAATTGGAACAAGAAAATTCATATCCATTTAAAAATCTTCATACTTATGCCACACTTTTCTACAACACTATATACACGTCAGTAATTTTAAAATGTACATTTTTCAGTCCTATTGATGTTACTAAATCAGAGTTTTATATATAAGGGACATTTCACATTAAATTGATCACGGCTCTCGCCATTTGGAGACATTTAATAAATGGTTTCATTGGTTCAAAAATTAGTTCTTCCAAGTACTTTAAGATGTTATGTGGCAGAATTCGAAAATCCAAGATGGCGCCTGCAAGTGTAAAAAAAAAATTAGAATTCATTCGATATAAACTCCCTCCAGTCAACATATTACTGATAAATCCGTCTCCAAATAACCTTAATGGGAACTTCGAGATCGCTGTTCATAAACCTTAAGTTATTTTCAGAATATTCAAGATGGCAGTTTTTAAACCTATGTTTTCGAAGTCGCTGAATCATAAATTGAAGTCAGTTCGATTGTTTCGTATCACTTTCCCATCCTAACCTCAAAAAAAAAAAAATTGAAAAATCACGAGGATAGTCAATTCTTATCTTACTCGATAGTACGATGTCATGTTATTTCTTTTTTTATTTATTTGAAAATAAACACTTCTAGTTAGTTAAAAAGGTAGTTAAAAAAAAAAATGAAAATAAGATACCGCGATCAATCCTAAGAGACTTGTCGTTTTTCATGTTTCCGGGGTTGCCAAATCGTAATTTAAAGTCGTTTCGATAATATCATATCACGGTCTGATCTTTGGATCAAAACAATTTTAAAATTGCGATTTTTCATTCATACTATGAATTGAATCTTAAGAGCATTTTTTTCTATGTTTTCGAGGTCATAGCGGTCCTTGGCTCAGTTGGTAAGGCGGTTTACTCTAAAACAAGGCCATTCATAGGGTCATGGGTTCAAATCCTGTGGATATTTCGAATTTTTCAATCTCGATTTATAAGTGGTATGTGTACCCGGGAAACCAAAGAAAAAAAGTAATAAAACACCAGTAATGGAATATCCCTGGCATTCCTTGTAGACAAAAACAGGCTTGCGACTGACGAAAGGACCGACATGTTGGTATGGAAGCTTACATCTTTCAATACTACTATCATGGTTAAATTGTTACATGAATTGGTAGGAAAAAAGCTACTTTCAAGTCTTTAGTCTGGAGTTTAGCTTGAAAATGTGGAGCATTACGAGGATACAAATTTTTTTGTGGTTAGGATCAGAACGTGGCATAATACTATTGAACCGACTAAATTATAATTTAGCTACCCCAAAAACATTAGAAACAACTAGTCTCTAATGATTTAATTCGCGATATGAATAAAAAGTCCTGATTTTTCAATATCTTTTTAGGTTAGGATTGTAAAGTGATACAATACTATTCAACAACTTCGAAAACATAGGAAATGACTAGTCTGACTTGTCTTGCCTGTGAAATCGACCAATGAACTATGTTTGAATAAGAATTTTGTGGTTTATGGCTTGCTAAGCAGTTATATAAAAATTGCCATCTTGAATCTTCTGAAAATAATTTAAGATTTATGAACAGTGATCTCGAAGTCCCCATTAAGGTTATTTGGAGACGGATTTATCAGTAATATGTTCACTGAAGGGAGTTTATTGGATAAATTTTTTTTTATATACTTGCATGCACCATATTGGGCCGCCATGTTGGGTTTTCGAATTCTGCCACATAACATCTTAAAGTACTTGGAAGAACTAATTTTTGTACTCCCAAAACCACTTATTAAGTGTCTCCAAATTTTGGCTAGAGCCGTGATCGATTTAACACGAAACGTCCCATTGAATAAATGTCAATTAGGCTTAAAATAAATAAAACAAATATTTATGGATAGTGAGATAGGTACTAATAATTTTAGGAGATGTAGAGGAAAATGAAAATCCTTTATCACCTGGCGAAAATGGCCAAGTTCATATTACTGGCGACAGTGTCACACAAGGAACAGCAAGTGTTACCAGTGATGTTAATTCAGATCTCAAATCACCTATTTCATTGGTGTATGAAATAGCTTTAAAAAGGAATCTCAGTGTAACTTTTGAAGTTTTAAGTGAAAAGGTATTTAATCTTATTTTACAGGATGCCATCATATTCCATGTATGTGGAAGTACCATAGGTTCTTGGAGTCAAAATGAGAAAATTCAAGAAAATTTTCTATCCATTGTTACTTCGTTTAGTTGCTAGAGGGTGTTGTAGGTGTTGTAATACCATAGGTTCTTCAAGTCAAAATAACCAACAAAACTTATCTTTATTGCCGCTTTGTTTAGCCACTAGAGGGTGTTGGCAGAAAGTTTTGAATGTCCCAAATAATTGCCTTAAATGAATTTTGGTATGCTAGTACTTGCATATTAGTTTAGAGTTGAAGACAATTGTGTAAATGCAATTATGTCAGTTACTATGTCAAAAAGTGACATCTATACATAAGTACTGGGATACCAAATTTCATTTAAATCGGACAAAGCGAGAGTTGTTTGGAAACAAACTACGTTGCCTTCATAAATGTCCGAATCCTACATGATCGCGACTGTTAGGCAACCAAACTTAGAATAGACAGTGATTAACACAAAATTCCCTAACGACAGAAAATGAGTCCAGTGGAGTACATATTACAATTATTTACCAACATTGAATTTTAATTTGCAAAATATGTTTCTTTTTCAATAAAATTGTGCTTACTTTCTGGAACCCAAGTTCTATAATTCTGACTGTTTACATATCCAGATAAATATACCTCATCGGATTAAAAGATAAGGTCTAAGAAATTATCATCGTTTAAATGTTCATTAAACCATCCATAATATTATACTTTGTCGGTTGTGATCAGGAGAACGTAACTCTTGCACAATAGAAACCTTATAGAGATGCATATGCAGCTGCTTCTGTAATGCCTTGTGACAAGTCCCAACTGATACACCTACGGACATACGTTGATTGAAATATTCTCTGGACATATTATCAATATAAAATGTACAATTATTTTTTCAAATACACAAATTAATCAACGCAAAGCCATAAGATTTTGTGTTAATAAAAAAAATATATTCTAAAGAAATTGTAATCAAAATTTTTCAAAATTATTTTATTATTTTTTTTAACTTCAGCTTCATGTTAAAAAATTTACATAATTCAAACTATATTAAGTTTATCGCGGTATCTGTTTGAGTAGATAACTGCGAAACAGGTTTCTTAGGTCTTCACACGATTTGTTGTCGAATATCTTCAACAACATTTTCTGTTAAAACAGTAGGTCTGCTTGTCGACTTACCCTTACAAATGCAATGTTTTTTCTCATATCTTTTAATAATGATTAATTAACACAAATCTACAAGAAATAAGAAAGTAACATCGAAACATAAACTTAAAATATTCCTTTAACTTACGTTAAAATATCGTATTTTTGGAGTTCTGAAAAGAACATTTTTTTTTCAACTCGACAAACAAAGATTAATTTGTAAAAGCACAGAAATACTACTAAATTATACAAACAAGAACAGACATTAAACACAAAAGGTTACAAATGCCTGGATTGATGTGTCATCTAGGGTCCTAGTTGGTAAATTTTCCTTGATAATTTCTGAAATGCGAACTTAAGAAAGTCAAATTTATTGAGCGCCAAAACAAATCTGGTCACTTGGGACTCGGACATTTATGAAGGCACTGTATAATTGTTTGTCAATTGTGATGCCCTCTAGTAGCAAAATGAGGCAACTTTAGATAGAGGTAAGCTTAGTTAAAGTGTCCCAAAGCCCAAGGATTATAAAAATTCCATGAGTATGGAATATTTTGACATTCTATATAATTGAAATTCGTATAGGTATCAATTATACATTTTTAGGGCCCCCCACATATGAAAGTTTTCATTACTCAATGTCGTGTGGGTAATTTTATAGCAGAAGGTGAAGGTAACGGGAAAAAGATTTCAAAGAAGCGGGCAGCTGAAAAAATGTTGGAAGAACTGTCAAAATTACCACCTTTACCTAATGTCATTAATATAGCTCAGCTTAAAAGGAAAAGGGTAACAAATAAGAAGAAAACCAGAAACTTGATAAAAGTAAATGTGGATAAAACATCTGAAGTGACCGAAGAAATCAATCCAATTTCTCGTTTAATTCAAATCCAGCAAGCTAATAAGGAGAGGGAACCAGTTTATACGGTACTAGAAGAACGTGGGGCACCCAGACGTAGGGAATTTGTTATTGAAGCATCAGTTAATGGACATTCTTGTACGGGTGTTGGTCCGAATAAAAAGGTAAATATTTAATACCAAATAAATAATCAAAAAGGTTTGCTTTTTTATTATTTAAAGTTATCGATTTGTTCAATTCCAAATAAAAACACTATATAGGATGAATTTTACATATATTTTAACTGCAGGTGTAATTTATGAAATAAATGAGTTGGTGAAAGTAATTTTTTAAAATTATAAATTGGACATTTCACGTCAATGGACACAGTGGGTTGCCCAGAATAAAAAGTCGTCAATATTAATGTTCAACGTGTCAAAAGTTTCATATTTAAAAACTCTATCGAAAAGCCATCTGGGGATTTCAAAGAAACATCATGGCGATTCCAATATGGCGTCTGCAATCATGGAAAATTCTGTTTAATGGGCAATATTGATAGATAAGTAACATATAAATATTATATTGTAGACTGAATCACCAGATCTAGATGTATTTTGGGGTTGCTGATGTCGAATTCAATGTTTGTTAAACCTGGTCACTGTTCGCCTCTAACTTTAAAAATACTTCAAATCGTTGAAATAACACTTCTAGGATGAGTAGTACAGTCTAACCACCACAATTTATGTTTTCGTGATCCCTGAAACCAATTCTGATATCCATATAACTTCAATTAGTCAGAGTTCATGCCTAACCTCAAAAAAATAGCGCAAATTGCTAAGATTACACTTTTTTATGTTTATGAATACAACCAACATATCTATATTTTTGGGATCACTGAATTGAATTCCCACATCTGTTTGAACCCAATTAGCCACTACCTATCCCTAACCTCAAAAAATATTGCAAATCACTAAAATGACACTTTTTCTGGCAGAGTTATAAAGCCTGATCAAAATATCACCAAAATCGCTTATATAATTTATTACAGATAAAGAAATTAAAGTTGATTATTATGTCCGTGGTAGTTAAAATATGGCGCCTGAAGATACATAAAAGCCACAAAATATTGGATAGCATTATTTACTTAACATAATGACAGTCTCAACCCTGTTAAACACAGAGAGCTTTTTGCTTATTTTAGTTTCTTTACCTGTAATAGACTATTTAAGCGATTTTGGGGTATTTTTAGATTCGAGACAAATACTAACCAGTTAATGTTATATGGATATCAGAATATATGTTTATCAACTCTTCTTCAAAATTCGGTTTTCTAGTAAATGTCGTTCCTAAGTATGAGAATTTTTCAACCTCTCGAATGTGTATCCTTTCCTTCATCTGTTGTTATTCTTAATATTTGATTTCTTACAAATTCTCTGTCCGACTAAACCATGAATTTCATTTTAGTTTAGTTGATTACTAATCCCATCCTTTCTGCTGATCTTACCAATCTCTTGAATATTTCTCTTATCTCTTTTTTACTTGTTAACAGTACAATATCATATGCAAACGCCAGACACTGATGTCGTTTGTGGTATATTAGGCCAGAACTATTTATGTTTGCTTCTCTGAATATTCTTTCTAATACTATATGGAACAAGAGCGGTGATAACGGATCTCTTTATCTAAGGCTTTCTGTTACTACTAACAAATTGAATATTTCGTTATATAATGCCATTGCATGTCATTTTAGGGGTTTTAACGTGGATGTGGATAAATTAAGTTTTAACGAGTTCCATAAATTGCGTAAAAACATTTTATTGAATAAGTTTTTATAGTGTTAGAGACTTTTTAGAAATTAATGCTGACTAAAAATGTACTATGTACGTAGAAATGGTCAATAAATACTTACTTATTTACTTACTTACTTACTTACTTACTTACTTACTTACTTACTTACTTACTTACTTACTTACTTACTTACTTACTTACTTACTTACTTACTTCATATCTTTCCGAAAACTTTCCGTTTATTATGACACTGTTTCCTGTTTGTGTTAACATCAATTTTATCATACTTATTATTTTAGGGCAACTGGGAGCGTGACCTAGTTGGTAGAGTTCGGGTCTGACAGTCACGAGATCGGTGGTTCGAGTCTCGTCGCGACATTTTTTTTTTCCAAAACGCACCATATGGTTTTTTATTCTTTTTCTTGTCTCGAAAATTATGAACAAACGAAATATTCTAATGACTACTTATGTATATGTTTCAAATATTTCATTAAAATGCACAATTTGTTGATAAACAATATTTATTATGAATTAACAATAAGGTTTCTTTAAAAAAAAAAACAAATGAGGTCAGGTAGGATGTTTTTTTATTTTATTTTTAGTATTTGATATTTTACTTAGTGTGGCATAAGCCAGAATGATAGTTATCATAGAAACATGGGAAGCAGAAATTTTTTAAGCATCTAGCACGTCGTGTAAATGTTATTTTTTTACTGGCACATTTTGTTTTCAAAATATCGACGTCGAAGCAAATTTCTTTAACATTTTGAAAGATTGTTCTTTCATCGCACAGTTTCGATGCTTCTCTACCCTTTGTGGAATTTTGTTTTTCTAAACACGGTGGACGACCCACACAACCTATACCCCGTGGTCGAAATTATATTATTATCTTTTTTCCATATTTTCTATATCTTGTTGCCTTTTACGCAGACACGCCAATGGATTTTCGTTCCCTGCACGCTTCATCCCCCTTACTAGTCCAAAAGCTAGCGATGAATCACTCTATAATTTCGACCGCGGAGTATAGCTCAAAATTTTAATCAAACACTTGAAGAATATTCCTACATACAGTTCTTATAAGATTTCGTTTGTTCATAATTTTCAAGATTAAAAAAAAGAAAAAGAAAGCTAGATGCTTAAAAAATTTTCGCTTCCCATTTTTATATGAAAACTACCATTCTGGCTCGTGCCACACTGCGTAAAATGTCAAATACTAACATAAATATAAAATAAAAGAACGTCCAACCTGACCTCGTTTGTTTTTTTTTAATGAAACCTTATTGTTAATTCATAATAAATGTTGTTTATCGACCAATTGTGCATTTTAATGAAATATTTGAAGAATATTCCTACATAAGTAGTTATTATAATATTTCGTTTGTTCATAATTTTCGAGATGAAAAAAATAATAAAAAATCATATGCCACACGACGGACTCGAACCAGCGATCCCCTTACTGTCAGACCCGAACGTTACCAATTAGGCCACGCTCCCAATTGAAGAATGTGTCGCATCTGGTGGATTTAGCGGTCAGGTAAAACTTTAAAATTGATTATCGGTAATTTATGAACGTTGCGTAGAACTACTTCGAAAAATTTTTATTTAAGGTCCAAACTACACGTACCATAAATATCAAAAATTACAAAAATCCAATTACCTTCTCCTTGTTAGTGCTTTACATAATTGACTTCTTCTGACTATCATATGCTTGTTTAAAATCGATAAAGAGTAGATATGTTTCCTTCTGATGATAGCTCTCTGCCTGTACCTCCCTCGTAAATATTTGATCGACTACTGATCTGCCTCGTCTGAATCCACATTGGTATACTCCTATTTCATTTTCAATCTTCTCAACTAGCCTGTTCTTAATATGAGAAGTCAGAATCTTATACAGTGTCCCAAGAATAACGCAAAAAATTCGTATTTTATTTTGTGTTGCGTTTTCACAAAAACGCTAAAACACTTCAATTAGTAAATAGGAATTGTCATTTTGTCATGTTGCTTAAACCTTTTTTGCGCTATGTTTCATAAACCTGACGTCATCGACATTTTCTTTAAATAGCACTACCTAATTTTTTAAGCATAAATGGATATTCCTTTTGAAGGGAAATACGTCAATATAGGGTTTGGCCTACTTTATTTTGACAGAAGCGAAAAAAAAAGCCAATGACTGGAATGGACATGGTTTAAAATAACAACAAAAGTAGGTATCATAAACTGATGCGAGAACAGTGCCACAGCAAAAAATGAAAATTTGTGGATGTTTTGTGTTTTGGTTGATTGTAGGTACGTTTTTATGTATTGATATGTTAGCGTCTTCGGTGATACGATGGACGGCAGTGGGGATTTTCAGTGACGGCTAAAAATAACATTTTGCCTATCATTTTTTATCACTGTCGTTGGCCTTCCAGATCTAGACAGATCTCTAACATGTTCAGCGTCTTCAAATTTGCGTACTAATCTGCATACTGTAGATCGTTCTGGATACTTGGCATTGACATACTTCATCATAACTCGGATCCTATCTCCGTATCCAACCATAATTAGGATTTCAATTCTTTGTTTCTCATTTAAACACAATAACAATGTAAAGTTATGGTATTTGTAACTGTCACAATGATATGAGGCACTATTGCATTCGCTAACTGTCGTTTTCAAAACAATACCTACATAGCGGCTGTGATCGGGTGTATCTACCAAATCTACATAAAAACATGTACCTACAATCAACCAAAACACATTTTTTGCTATAGCACTATTCGCGCATAAGTTTTGTTATTAATTCAAACCATGTCCATTCCAATCGTTGGATTTTTTTTCGCACCTGTCAAAGTAAAGTAGGGTAAACTCTATATCGGCGCATTTCCCTTCAAAAGAGCTATCGATTCATACTTAAAAAATTAGGTAGTGCTATTTAAAAAAAATGTCGATGACGTCATAGGTTTATGAAACATAGCGCAAAAAAGGTTTAATCAACGTGACAAAATGACAATTCCTATTTACTAATTGACGTGTTTTAGTGTTTTTGTGAAAACTCAAAACAAAGTAAAATACGAATTTTTTGCATTACTTCTGGGACGCACTGTATATTACATTAAGAAGAGTTATACCTCTATAATTTTGACAATTTTTCCTATCTCCTTTTTTGAAAATTGGTTGCAATATAGCTTCCTTCCATTTTTTAGGTATTTTTTCTTGTCTCCATATTTTTTCCAGTATTTTGTGTATATTTTTAATTAACTGTTCGCCACCATACTTAATCATTTCTGCAGTAATTTCATCCTCACCTGGACTCCTTTCAGTTTTCAGATTTTCTATTATTGCTTTTATTTCTTCTAGGCTAGGTACTTTTTCTACGTCTTCATTTTGGTTTATATCCGTTACGTCATTAATTTGT